TGAAATCGTTCGGTCCAGCTGACGTATCGGCCGGAGGCGTTAATCAGGAAAGGTCGATCCTAAGTAAACTTTTCAGAGGTAATGGCAGTGGCACCGATAAGGAGATTGAACCGAAGGACAACAAAAGCGAAAAATCGAAACAACATCGTATCTCGCGCTTCTTACGACCGGACTTTTTCGACACGCCACGAGAGGAGAGTCAGTATGTGAAGGAGAAAGAAGCGCAGAAAGCGGCGGAGAATGAGCGCCGAAAATCGCGATTCATGAGGCGGAAAAGTGAGAGCAAAGATCGCAAAGAGGATGATTCAAAGGACGAGAAGATCTGCAAGGAACAGAAGAATGAAATAAATACGCTGCAAAAAGATAAACTAGGCGGTGCCGTCGTGGTCGCTTCTTCCTCTTTCTCGTTCGCCTCCGAGGACAAGACCAAGGAGGACAAAGAGAGAGTCAAAATCGAACAAGGCTCGAAGAGCAGTTTTCTGCATTCATTGGAGAAAAAATTAGAAAGGTTGCGCTCGAATGATGAGTCGACGAGTATGGTTGCAAAATCGACGATAAATGGCAGCTCGATGAAAGAACGTGGATTGCGCGAGTGCTCTGCACCGCCTATCCAGTGTTCACTTGCGGATTCTGCGGGATCGAGTTTGCTCGAGGTGAAGAAAACACTAAGTGTGGAGAATCTTTCGCGTCATGAAGGATCAAATAAGGATGTCAAGAATGTGCCAAGCTCGAAAGGACGCGTGACATCAGTATTGGGACTATTCAAGACGAACACAGATACAACCAAGCGAAACGCAAACGGTAGCAGCCGGACACAGAACGCAATTATGAGTAAATTGAAAAGGAGCCCGCCCAAATGCGTCAAATCGGTCGAGTCGTCTTTAGAAGAAGATGTAACCGGGACGAGCAAAATACCGACAAAATTCACTAGAACTGACAATAAACTGACGAAAAAGCTACCAGAGAACAAGAGATCGCCGGAAAAAGTAGTGAGCGAAATGTGCAAAAGGTCGCCGTCCAAGGAGAAATCGAAAGAGAAGGAATTAATCGTTAAAGAAAGGAAACCTTTCGTGGAAAAACAATCGAGGGAAGTTAAAAGACCCGCGCCTTCTTCAGATTCCTCGGCGTCGTCATCCGTGGATAGAATGAAGCTAGACAAAGTGGATTCACTGAAAAAATCGTCGGACCAATCATCGGAACTTTTGCGTAAAGTCGTGGACGATAAACACATCCATGTGGCACCCATTATCAATAATGAAGATAAGAAATTGATTAAAACCAAAAGAAACATTAATTCTTTAGTAGGCAAAAATGAGTCGGTCACGAAGATCGACAAAGGCGAGGATGTTGATAAGAATAAGACGAAGAAGCTGGTTAAGTCGAAAGAAAACGCGAATAAAGATGAGACCAACGATTCTAGGAAGAAGAAAATAGTGCGTGTCGTGAAGAAAGTTGTTAAGAAATCCGACAGTTCCGAAAGCAAGTCTGATGAGAAGGGAAAGTCATCAAAGCTACTGACGAAGAAGAAAATCGTGACGACGAAGAAAGAGAAAAGTCCTGAAGGTTCGAATGTCATGGCGGAAGTTTCAATCGAAGGAAATGATCAAACTGATGATCAGATTATCGCGAAATCATCCTGTATGCCTGTGAAACAGGTAGAATCGGACCTGCCAGCGAAGTCCAGGGATGCTATGAAAAATGCAAATCAGATAAAAACTGATATTAAAGGAACAGATAAATTCGATGTAAGCGTATCATCTATTAATGTCTCGCAGACGAATTCTATACTTGGAAACGTATCGAATTCTCAAAGCATTTTGAGTTCTTTGCCTCCTATAGGCTCCTCGAGTTCTACAAGTCGGGTCGATTCGAATTTTAATATATGTCAATCAAAGCAACAACCATTGGAACAATGTCGGCCGAATAGAGCGAATTTGAAACTCGATTTATCTAAGATACCGCAACATACGTTTAGACACGCGACTCCTAAGAGAGATTCGCCTGAATGTAGTTCACCGAAAACAAAACCTACCGTGTCTATCGGATCGCCTAAAATAGACGATCCTGTGGTGGAGAGTTCTGACAAATTGATGGAGCGTCTATCCAAGATGACGCATCACGCTAATATTACTGGCAACAAGATAATCATCGATAAGCCGTTACGAGCAAAAGATGTCGCCGAGTTGAAGCGAGAGGTCACCGAATGTGCCAGGATCATAGAGAATCACATGGAGTCGCGAGATCATTCCAATCAGCGAACCGTCGATCATACATCCGCTTCAAACGAACCGAAAGAAATCAAGTTGAATCCTTCTGAAGGGATTAATGATGTAATTAAAGAGGTAATTAAAGAGCCACCCGATGACTGCACCAGCGAGATGTTTTCGCCCGAGGAACCCGAGAGTTTTGATTCCTGGTCGATCTGTTCGGCCGATCTGAATCACAATCGCAGCGATTTGCATTCGCCCACATCACCATCGTACTCTCTATTTATGCGTGGCTCCGACAGTTCAGAATCGGTGATAGATCGAATACGAAGACGCAGCTTTTACTCGAGATTCAACGATCGTAAGAGGCCATCCTTGACGGCGCCACCACCAGGAGTGAACAGCGTCACTCTACCTAGAAGGTTCAGCTTCAACAGTTCTAGAGAAAGGGAGCGCGAGAGATTGTACAATTATGGAGTTACTAGGACGAGGTAAATTCACTCTACGAGATGCTTTGCTTCTCTTTCTGACTTTTTGCTTACAACAATTAATTAAATCGCGATCCACAATTAAACGATAATAAGATTAACGATAACAAGAAAGAGATAATAAAAAAAGCAAATCGAACTATGTTTTCACAATTCGTAGCTTCACAAATCAGATTCCTCTATTTGTTGGTTATTTAAAATATTTCGTAGGGAGAAGGACAAAAATTATATTTTATACGGCGACGACGAGGTATCCTCGAGGAAATCACCGGTCGATCGAGAGAGGTACAGCGACACAGCGAATATATCATCACATGGTCATCAGGCGGATGCGAGAATCTTCTTCGATCATTACGGTAGTGGCTTATCATCTTCCTCGCATGATTCTTTGAGGAGATACGTGAGGTCCCCGACGCTGGATCTTGTTGCCTCTCGCGCCAAGTATCATAGCACGGACGTCATCGCGGACGACGATCTTGGCGGAGTCTCGTGCAAGAATTCTCTATCGAGATCGTTTCTGAGTGATGGCATAGCGGATTCTTCTTACTATGGTAGGAACACGTCGACTACTTTGCCGAAGAAATACGGCTCCACCGTTAGTGGTCTAGAACCGAAGAGTGTAGAATATTACGAGGAGATTTTGTCACCGAGCAATCCTGATTATCTGTCTCCACGCGACGCCTGCCGATCACCATTGCTGGATATCTATTTGAGCAGATGTGAGAACGGATGCAATCACAACGGCAATTTGGAATTACAACAATTTAGTGTCGATAAACCAAGAACCTATACGGATGCGGAGATCGTTCAAGGGAACAGTAAGTCGCTTGGTGAGCAGAAAAATTATAACGAGAAAATATACAGTAAAAAATTGATAAAGAATGAGCATACACATTCATTCGTATAAAATTGAATTCTCTAAGGTTTCGTTTTAATTATTCATCAACATCGATGATTTTACATATTGCCGATCTCACAAATCCTCTTCAATCAATTTCTTTTTAATTCTTCGTATTTGATGCATAAAGAATTTTTCTTTTTCAGAAACATAGTGCAACGCTTTAACGAAAAGAGGGAAGCGTCCTCGACAGCTATGGATAGCCTATCTAATATATTTGTTACCGAACGGAATTTATTTAATTCAAACAGAATATAGAATTTTGCAAAATGATAATGTGCCGAACACATTTAAACTACAACGATTTTATAATAATAGATTCGCGTCAAAATGTCTCGCGCTTCTTCGTCATAGCGATGAAATAGTCGCGATGGCAATATAACAATGAAACGATAAATATTAAATGATTGAATATACATTTAATATAACATCGTTATATTAAAATATACGCTTAAAAATTTAAAATTACTGTTTTAAATGCGGTTTAAAATCTTATTCCGTGAGTTTAATTGTCTTAATCAGTAATGAATTTCGTTATATAAAATTCTTTGTTACACAAAAATGCATCTCACAGAAATTTTTATTTATTTTTCTTCTTTTTCACATTGCATCAAAAATTATAAAGAAATGTAAAACAAAATATTTCACTTATTTTTTTATCGCACGAGTCTTTTGGAAAATATTATGATAATTGAATTGGCATTATTTCTTATAACTGTAAACACGTGCTAAGAGAGCATTTCGTCTTTGATATTTATAGAAATATAAATATAAACGTTGGCTGCTCTTATTAGAATTATCGCAGCGACGAGATACGAAAAAATCTTGCCATTTATTTTATCGGTTTAGCTTATGTTCCAAAGCGTCAACTTAATAAATTTAAACTGCATACGATAGGTGTTATTTTTTTTATTGGAAAAGTATATCAAATCTGTTTATCTTTTGTCATAATTATATTCGTAGTGTGAGGATAAAAATAATTTGTATAAATACATAAATACTTTAAGAGTAAATTGTCAAATATATTGACTGCAGCAAGAAGATTATCTATAATTCTATAGCGTCACGTTAATTAATAACCAACAAACCGCAGCGTGACACTTTAGAGTGCAATAGGCCAAAGACTAGTAAAAGAAAAGGCGCGAATGGCGCGTTTTAGTTCCTTATGCGAGTATCGCTTTATACAGTCGAGGTTTCGTAATTCTTCCATCTATATTCTTTTTATTATTTTTTCTCCCACTTTATTTATCGCGCTGCTCTTTCATCATTTTACGTCCGTCACTTGACTATGTACATATGACGTAGAATAAAATAATAAGAGAGAGCAGTACGAGAAGATAAATAGGGAAAGGAAACGAAAAGACATGAAGGAAGAGATGAAAATTTGACTATGTATGAACTTATGAAAATAGTTTCTAATTGGATCGATCAAAGATTGCGAGAAAAGAAATAACGATGTTACATTAGGCCTAAAAACTTTTGACTGATCAGCCTCACGGTCTTCCGCTTGTTACGTATGTGTTTTCTATTGATATATACATATCTTAAATAAAATATCGGTACTCTCTTCAACTATTTTGTCTTTAAGCTGTTTACTATTTTTTTTTTTACCCTTCACGAGCGTTATTTAATTGCGTGATGTTACGCGAATGATAGTTCTTGAAATTTGACAGTCAACTTTTCTGCTTCATTTACGAAATAATAGCTTAATACAATTCGCGCGTTATTTGCAACAACTAGAAAGTTTAACTTGAACAAATTTATGGCGAAATTGACAGATCCTGTAAAACTACGCTTTTATTTAGAAAGATACAGAAAAGAAAATAAATTGATAAATGTGCGAGAAACGTTTGTGCCTACTATTTATGTAAAACCATTAACTGGCAAATTCTATGCGAAGCACGATGTTTTCTCTCCGTCGGACGTTAGAGAAGACGATATCAACTTGATTAAACGAATGGAGATGATACCTACAGACATTTATTCCTTCAGACCGCCGACAATAAATATGGAGTAAGTCGATAAAACAGTAATGAAAACATAAATGAAAACTAATTAAATTTTTTATAAATCGGTTTTTTATATATAGATACGGTTGGTTCACTACATTGCTTATACCCATTTCGAAAGATCCAAGATTACGCTTCTCCAGAAAACAATCGGATTTTATTACGAATGAACTCTTACGTCGAAAACTGCAAAAAGGTCTTCCGGAAAAACCATTTTTTGGCGTGCCATTTAAAACATAAATGTTTGACAGACATTTCAAACAAATTAAAAAGCGGAATAAAATTCATTAATAATTTTGATGATTCAATTTTTTAATAAATATATTGTTAGAAAAGAGATCTTTTAATGATAATACCATCGCTGAATACTCGATGCTAAAGTTAGCTGAACTTGATAAAATTCGATACATTGATTCGAGCGATGTTGTGTCGCTGTTTCTTGGCAACAAATACCGTAGTAACTCTTTCGCAAGATAGGTCTTTAAAGTGTATACGTGTATGCTGTTTTTACCGAACAAAGTTCAAATAAAAGTGAGATTTGGACTCGGATATTTAATCTGAGCGTACGAGTCGAAAAATTATACTTTGCTATCGTCCATCGTTATGAAGTTATCAAAGTGATCTGAACGTATGTATACAAATTTTGACAACAATGTTATTAATCATATAATAACTAATGAAACTCTCATTAGGTAGGCGGGATGACAGGGAGAGCTTTCCGCATTAAAGTACAACTACATGTACACGCGGTACGTATGTATGATTTTTCTGTTATATTTTTATAACTCTTATTTACGCGGCACGGTTTTTAGGTAACATGTCCTGGTGTTTGGTTATGTCCCAATGGCAAAGTGGCTCTGCGAATCAATGCGCTTGATTCTTGTGCGGAATCCCACGCAATAAGCCCGATTCTTCCACTCTTATTCCATGAGAAATTTACTTTCGATAAAATCTTTGTTGGAATAATTTCCTTGACGGAGCTACAAAACACTCTGGAGCAAGAATTTTTATATGCGGAATTAATACAGTGGGCAATACCAGCTAGCCAGGATATTACTTTGGCAACATTTGAAACAAATTTGGCAGACTTGCTGTATCCTACGCCATGTTTCAAAGGTTTACTAGCCGGTGTGGATGTTGACCTTCTAATGGAACCGACTAAATGTTTTCCTGTAGGTTTTTTACACCTATTGATCGTTTAATTTAATTGTAAGAAAACTTTTCATTGGACAAAACGATTGTTTTGCTTCAGGGTATCATAGCACCCAAAATCGAGGTCTCCACCAAAACAGTTATCGAAGAAATCTTGGAATTCTATGATGCAAGCAAATGTTATGTCATCAATCCAAATATTAGCTCTAAGGTATTATATTTTATAGAACAAATTGAAATCGATAAACACATACAGTGAGTGCAAAAAGTATTCGTATAGAGAAAATATTTTTTAAAAAAACTTTATTTTTAAAAAGTAAATATTATTCAGCGAGCAATGAATCATCGATTTGATATCAAATCGATATTGATACGATTTCAACATCAATTCGACGTTGATTCGACGTAATTTAACGTAATTGCTCATTTCTTATTGAGTAATTAATAATTTATTCATAAAGAATAAAATAGACTGTATGTTTCTTAAAATTATATATACCAAAAAAAATGTATATTATACAAAATATCATCTGAAAAATAAGCGGAAATTAATAATACTATTATTTAGATAGTCAAAATGTATTCGTACAGTTGAAAAATTTAACTTTTAAAATCACAAATACAGCGAAGCTCGTTTATTTTTGTTACATTTGTTTATGTTAGAACAGAGTATATTCATTGTATAAAATTGTTAATTAATGTTTATTTTTTACAAATAAAACCTTTTTTATAAAAAATTTCCTTGTACGAATACGTTTTGTTCTCACTGTTTGTCATTTATAATTTTCTTCTTTTATATTATATGTACTTGAAAATAACAAATTTAATCGATCCTATATTATATGTAAATTTTAGCAAACGATATGTAGACAGAGGAAAAGACCGATTAAAGGTATTATAAGACAACGAAGAGTGTGTCACACTAAGAATGAACCAAGATCTCAAAGCTGTCGACCGTAAGCATTATTATTAAGCATTATTACATGTTGTTAATGGTATATAAATATATGTTATAAATAGATTTCGTCAGAGATCGAGCGATTCTCATCAATGTCCTTCATATACCACGAGTCATCAAACAGGATCACAAACTGATCAATGTTATCATTCAATAAGGAGAAATTCTATGTGTACTTGTCGACCAGATTTCCCAAAGTTAGCCAGATCTACCATCATATGTGATAATACTCATGTTACAGAGAACTGTCCAGTTTGTTTCAAGTATAATTATTATTTTCCCAAGTACAACGATTGTGATATAATCAAAAAATATATTGATAATAAGCAAAAATATTACAGAAATTTTTCTGATATCAGAGAATATGGTTGTATTTGTAGAAACGGCGCATTCCACACGCAAGAGGAAGGGGTAATGCCATTGTGAGTAAATATGGATAAATTTCTTCAACATTTATATACATACAGGATGTTTCTTAAATAGCAGATACTAATCATATAGCGTTATTTCTAATTAAAAATTGAGTCGAAAAGTCCTCTACAATTTTGCAATTTTTCGCAATTATTAACGAAATATTAATTTCTAAATATTGCCGAATAAGCACATATCCGGCTACCCAACCATTAACTGTCACGAAAATTGCAAAATAAGGACTTTTTGATTCAATTTTTTATCAGGAATATTATGTGATTCAGCAATCACGCTTACAATCTTTAGAAATTAATGTTTCATCATTCCGAAAATTGCAAAATGGTAAAGGACTTTTCGACTTAATTTTTAATCAGGAATATATGATTAGTGTTCGCTAATTAAGAAATACTTTATATATATATAATATGCTATATATAATGCGTGCGCATTTTTCTTCTTTAAAATGAATTTTTAAAATTTCACTAACAATAAGACTTCTTTTCACCGAGATATTTCAGTTTTTGTGAAATGCGAGAAAACTGCAAGCATCCCGAAACTTATGAATGATGGTGTACACATTCACATGCATTTACACATGCACGCATGCATGCACGCTCGCGTGCATATCCATATTAATTATACATATATGTATATCTTTACAGATTACAATCTAAAATGGAAAATCTTCAGAAAACTAAAAAAAAATGGTACACTAAAATGACGGACAAGTAAGTAATTAAGATTCCCGATCGTTCTGCAACATGTAATGTTTAACTTTTGAAAATATTATTTCAGTATTGAGGAATGCGATCCGAAATACATTCAAGATTATTCTCCGAGCCATGGCTTTTATAAAAATTTGGAAAAATTTTACAAAAGAATGTATAAACAAGCGAAAATGCGTGCACGAGAGACAGATGATTGATATGAAAAATCTTATTATTCAAGTTTTTCTATAACGCGATTTTTTATATCTTAATTTATGGATACAGTCCAAGCTAGTTCTAAAATGCTTCGAAGCATGTTTTTTGATTAACCAATCGAAAAAAAGAATTTTATTAATTGATTAATAAAAAAAATTTCAAAACAATAAATGGACCATAACAAATATTACAAAATTCTGAAGTAGATTGCTTTATGTATATATACACATATATAATGTACACGCACGCACGCACGCACGCACGCACGCACGCGCGCGCGCGCGCGCGCGCACACACACACACACACACACACACACACACACACACACACACACGTGATATCAAACAAAGCAATCTTATTTAATAAAAGAATAAGATTTTTTTATGATTAAATAAAGTATTGATTAAAATATATGTTATGTGCAAGTATTAACATGTTTCGCCGCACCGACACCGAACTTTCCTTTTACGTCAGTCCTAAAATATTTCTCCAATTGTGTGGCGTAAATGGAAAGTTAAATGAAATAGGCTCAATACCGAGATAATTAATAAATCGTTAATCACACAAAAGACACAGTACAGTTTTGTTCTCTAAAGCAGATCTATCAAATATTTTAAAATTTTTGGAATTGGCGTAGTATGTGTTAATACTTGTTCAATTGTTATTATGTATGCATTTTTGCAAAGACATTGTAATTGATACAAACATATAGTATATTATCCTTTATCATAATTTTATGAAATAAAAATAGATAATGAATGTGTAAATGAATTACTTATGAATTATTTATATGTATATAAATGTTAAGGAATTTATGTATAAAGCGAGAATACGTTTAGATTATATGTACAATATACATGTGTAAAAAAAGTATTTATTTTCTGTATGCTTGGCGTCCGCTTTTGTATGTCGGTGTATCTGAAATTCGATTGCCATGTAGAGTGACAGATTTCCTCAAAAGTGCCGGTGTTCTTAGGTATAAGCCGCGACCTTGTGGATTCCAAGCTTTCAATAAAACACGCTCAGCTTTTTCAGCAGCGATTGCGATCCATCCTGCGTAACAATGATAAAACCACGATTGTACATTTTCACAAACCGCTCAAAGCGAATGTTTCAGCAACAAAAAGGATCAGTGATTAAAATTAATGTTTGATATTCGTCAGTTTTAATCACGTGATCTATTTTTTATTGCTGAAACAGTCTGTTTGAGTGGCTTATAAAAATGTACCATAAGATCGGAAGCCACTATGCAAATATAAATTTATTTATTACAAGGAAAAATTACCCGCACTGGATAAAACAATGTCGGAGATTGACTTGTTCCGACCAACACCAGTAATTTCCATCTCCTTAGATACTAAAGATGGCCAATGTTTCAATCGGTCTGGATTGTTTTCAGGTACGACAAATGCTTCCGTTTTAAGTAACTCGTTGTATACATTATCCGCATCCTCAGTATGAGTTAGAGTTATTGGTAATTCGCTACTTGAAAATATTGTACACCTATGACAAATACAATTGTTTTTAATATTTGACACCTTTAATTTATTACATTCTCATTAGCAATTACACATACATAAATATGCATAAGTACCTAATAAAAGTATCGCCTTCTACGTAATCCAATCTTCCTATTCCACCCAAAAATATCGTTTGATTTACACGTAGAATGAAAGTTCTAGGTGAGATTATTTTCTTCGATAAAACCGACAAAAGTTCCTGCGTTGTCAGCAAATCCAATATCTGATTTGGTTGAATAGTGCCAGGAGTATCGTAACACCAGCGGCTGAGTTTGTATTCTTTCTTATTCTCATCAAATCCGAATTGTGTATTCTTAAATTTTTCTTCCATGAATGAGTAATTTTTGGATGTTGATTGAAATGTTCTGCCTATACGATCTAAATTTAAAATATAACATTTACTCATATACTAACAAAAATGTAAAAATTTTCTATCGACTATGTACAATTTTATATACAATTGTGTATTGTGATTGTGAAAAATTTACACCCAAGTATGATACATACTTTGCAATGTGGCGTACTTTAAATTACGTGTCATTTCAAATTGACTGATTCGAGATTTTTCTTCAGCGTATTTGTGCTGCTGTTCCATTTTTAATCGCAATGCTCTCAAATAAAGTCGCTTTCTTTTAGGATTTAGAATAGGAAATTTCAACAAATTCAACGTTGTGCCTGGCCAAGGAGAAATAGTTGCACGTTGTATTAAATCCACAGCTTGTACTTTGCAATAATCAGACTGTAGAAGAGCATTAAACAAAGAGGATTTACCAACGTTTGTGCATCCGATAATGTAAACGTCTCCTAAAAATTATAATTATAATAAATACAAAATATGTGTTTGGAGCATATGTTCTTCTCGATTCTAGATCAATTTTGAACACTTACCTTTATATTTCCAGATGTTATGTAACTTATTTATAAGTTCTTCTATGCCATAGCCTGTTTTCGCAGATATAAGTTCTACATGTCTGATATTCTCCTTCTTAATTTTTGTAATTTCCATAGCCTTCAACAGGCAATCTTTAACATGAGTAAAAAAATGTTTCGAATCTTGAGGCAACAAATCTACTTTATTCCCTACGACGAATACTGGTGTTAAAGGATGCAGCACACTATTTATTTCAGGCCATATGCTACATGGAAAATCTGTAAGATCGATCATCAAAATGACAGCGCATTTCTTTGTTTTTATCACTTTTAAAAGTTTTGGATATTCGTCCGCAGATACTTTTACTTCTAATGTAGTATTATAATAATGCATAAAATGACATCTTTGACAAATCATAACTCGCAATTCTTGATTGCTCCTTTTTAGAAACAACTCCGAAGGCAAATAACCTGGTAGAGCAGGATCCTTACAATGCAACAAGGCTCCACATCCACCACATGGTATGGAACTAATACTAGAGTTTGGATCAGGAGTTCCATAATTGCTGAGCCAGGTATTGTCCTGTAAAGTATCATCGTATTGTTCAACGTCGACCATCCAATTAAATGGAACATTTGATGGTAAATCTTTCTTATACATATCTCTTTCTCCTAAGTACTCCTGTAAATTAAATTTTTCCTTTTCCAAATTCGCATTCTTTTCCGTTAAATATTTTTCATACAGAATTTTATACCTGCTGTTCAACGAAATTGTATTTTCATCAAAATTATTTTCATTCATTTCAGAAGATATGTCTACATTATTGTATGAATCTGTACTCGCATATGGCATATGTATAGGTTTGGTTGTATCTTCTTCTGCATTTATATATTTTTGCTCATCGTTTTCTTCATTTTTCTCATCCAAAAGTACGCTATAGACAGGTACATTCGTGAGCTCATTGTTTCGTACTTCCTTCGCAAAATTCTCAGCTTTCTTTTTCCATACAAAACGTTTCATGTAACTTATTTTCACCTTATGATAATCTAAATAGTCGCAATATATCAATTTCTCTCGTAATGCTACGACTCTGGGATCGAGAGACGATTGAATTCCATCCTCTTTCGTGTTGCATTTCGTCGAATAAAAGAAAGTCTGAATCAGTTTATACCTATAGTGATAGGTTCTTAAATGACAATACGTATTATCTATACAGAGTTTCCACGCAGAATATTTTACAAAATTAATCAATTTAATATTATTTAAAGACAACATCATAAACGTAACATGTGTTCCAAAGTGGCATGCGTATCCGACATATCCGTTACTTTATAAAAGTTAGAATTTATAAAAGGAGCAAATAACCTTTCAATATCATGAATGAATAATAGAAAGGAGTAAAATCTCGGCAACTTACTGTGGACTCCGCAGCGGCACAAAAATTCGTGGCGCTTCTGTCGTTGCCTCGTTTATCCAATTGTGATGAAGGTGGAAGCAGAGAGAAACCTGAGAGAGGACACAAAATGCTGCCGCGCACTACCGTCCTCTGAAGAAGTGGATGTTAACTACACAACAATACACAACAATGTCCTCTCTCTTCTCTTTGCCATCGATGTAATTTCGTTAAGTCCATTTTCTAATACCGTAAATATTACAAAAGAAATTTAATGTCGTTTCCATTTTATACACAGGTGAGCGTAATGATTATTATCATAATATATTTAATACCTAATAAAATAAAACTCAGAAAAGTTTTTAAGTATTGTTGTATTAATATTTTGATTTAAAATTTTATTATTATTAGAACTTTAAGTAATAAGTATATTTCTATATTTCCGCGGTGTTTAAATGATTCATAATTTATAATTATTACTATTATTTTATAAATTCGATTTTTCTTTCATATAATTTTTTCGATAGCCTTTATTTATTCATTCTAATTTTTAATTTTTGGAAAAAATATATAATTTCCGTATTCAAAATACTCTTTTATGTTTAAAATTCTACAGTATACGTAATGTGAAGTATGTACTAAATACATGCTAATATCGTAAAAGCGCTTGCCGAATGAATACAGACTTCTCTATCTTTATAAAACGCACGGCTTCAAATTCCGAAAAAGATTGAAATTTTTTGCGTAGCATTTATATATATATATATATATATATATATACCACATTCGGAAACTAGCGCAATCCAATAAGCACAGCGAGGCATCACGCTCATTGGCTAGCATGCGAGTGGTGGGGTTCGCCATTTAACGGCTCATATAAATAACGTATAATTCGCAATTTTACGCTTTTGCGACTCGAGCAGGGGACGAGGATATGTCTTGTCATTTTAACGTTGGAAAAGTTCGCAACTCTGTCTTCGAATCGATTGTGACTTTTTCTTCATATTCTAATCTCTGCTGATTATAAAACGATGAGAAACTGCACAAAGGATCGTTGGATTTCTTTATTAAGGTAATCAATTATATAATTAACTTTTTTTTGCCTTTATTTCTCGTAACAATATAAATATCGCGTATTGCAGATTCTAGTATAGCACACTATTATTCGGTCGAAAATATATTTCTCGCATATATTTTCGCATGTATTTCTCGTTCGATTGAAAATCAAGACGTCGCGTCGTGTCGCGTCGAAAGTATCTCGCGTCGCTTTTTATGCGTGAAGTTGACAGCACTCGGAAAACGACGCCATTTCCCCATTTCGATAGCATTCACATTTCATTCGCGAAATGCAGCGGATAGAGAATGACACGGACTGGCTCTCAAACGAGTAGAAACGCGCGATCAAATATGGTAATTAAAATCTATATAATACTTGAATGTATATTTTTATACGCGATTTATTTAACTATCGATTATAGATTCAGTAATCGTATATTAATAATCCGTTCGAACGCGTATTTCGCAAAACTTGTTCGCCAAAAGTGGTATATCGCTTGAATAATTGACAATGAGATTTTCGAATATCAATCTGCAATATGGAAATAATAATAAAAGACGAGCGTATATTATAATATATCCTTATCTTTTATGATTGTTATTTCCATATTTTGCGTCATTCGCGTTAACTTTGGTATGCGAAGTTAATCGCGCAAAGCTGTCTCGTCATCTTAATTACAACTACGATACATTTACACATTTCGATCTGTAGATGAAGCGCAAATTAAGAGATGATTGGCATCGATCAAATGGCGTGTGAAATTGATCACGCGAGAGACGAACTCAATAATTGCATTTATGTTTTATTTGCAGAATGCGGCGAATACGGGAGATGGTCGGCTCCAAATGAGTGGCGTCGCGACTTATTGAATTGGTAAGCAAAATTTATATTAATTTTATATAGATAATTCGTTCGAGCATATATTTAACAATACTCGTGCAGTCGAATAACGTTTCGTCTTTGATGCGTAAAGTCAACTGTCCAGAAATTTTTCGCTATTTTAGGTTTCATTCCAATATCCAAATTTTATTTTTAAAATATCACAAGTATCGAATATGACAAATTTTCTGCGTTCTTATTTCTTTGCTATTTCGCAACATGAATTATGTATTACATATAATTAATATTAACAATGTGAACAAAATATGACAAAAAATATGATTGTTATAAAATAATATTTAAGCGTTTCTCGCTTTCACGCTCATACGTTGTAAATATCAATTCATCTTTGTTGTCTATCATTAAACAGGATAATGATGCTTACAAGTATTGTAAGTACAAAACAGAGCGCATCTTTAGTAATTATTTGTAATTGCACTTAATTTTAACAAATGATTTGTTTCAATTAGGCACTGTCTACATATCACAAAGTAAACAATGGGAAGAGAAGAGATACGAAAAGCAGGTTTGACAATTCTGTGAGGAAGAGGAAGAGGAGGAGGAGGAAGAGGAGGCTTAGGAAAAGCAATGGGTTTCGATGGAGCAACTTTGCGGTAAGCAAGCTTATTGCTTATTTGCATAAAAAATTAATCATTAGTCATTCTTCCCATTAGATTGTTTTATTTCGATGACTAAAAATAATAATTGAAGAAAAAGAATTAATCTAAAATGTTATGGAAATTTATTCTCATGAAGACAACTTTGAGAAACTGTATAATTATTTTTTATTTTATAATTTTATTATTAATTATTTTAAACGTTATTTTAATTTGGATCTTGTGTTTGTATGTTACAGAACTATGTAGCTATGTAGCTGATAATTCCACTGTGCATCAGTCGGTGAGTAACAAAGATTTTAGATAACGAATCTATGAAAAATGTAGCAGATCTGTTATTTTATTAGAAATAAATATAATGTTTTATAAATCTGTTACTTTAAAATGGATTAGTTATAAACAATTGTGATACATATTTAATCTTGGATTTGTCTATCATTATTTGTCAACTTGGTCAACGTCTTAGTGTGCTATTGTGTTTGAGACTATTA